ACCGTCTTTTTTAAAAATGTAAAACCTTCTCGGTGGCCCCAATTGTATTTTTTTTAAGAATGTGATACCTTTAAGGGGTTCCCAATTTTTTTTTAATGTAAAACCTTCTCAGGGACCCCAAACGACCTGTGTTTAATGTGAAACCTTCTCGCGGGTTCCAACTGTCTTTTTCAAAAATGTAAAACCTTCTCGGGGACCCCAACTGACTTGTTTTTAATGTGAAACCTTCTCGGGGCTCCCAACGGTCTTTTTTTTTAATGTAGAATCTTCTCAGGGTTCCAACTATCTTTTTAAAAGTGTAGAACCTTCTCGGGGGCTCCACATGTATTTTTTTAAGAATATGAAACTTTCTCGGAGGTCCCACTTGTCTTTTTTAAAAAAAAAAGGTAAAATCTTCTCGGGGGTCCTAAATGACTTGTTTATAATGTGAAACCTTCTTGGGGTCCCAACTGTCTTTTTGAAAAATGTAGAACTTTCTCGGGGACGCCAAATATCTTTTTTTATGTGAAACCTTCCCGGGGGTCCCAACCGTCTTTTTTAAAAATGTAAAACCTTCTCGATGGCCCCAATTGTATTTCTTTTAAGAATGTGATACCTTTTCGGGGTTCCCAATTATTTTTTTTTTAATGTGAAACCTTCTGAGGGACCCCAAATGACCTGTTTTTAATGTGAAACCTTCTCGGGGACCCCAACTGATTTGTTTTTAATGTGAAACCTTTTCGGGGCTCTCAACGGTCTTTTTTTTTAATGTAGAACCTTATCGGGGTCCCAACTATTTTTTTTTTAAATGTAGAACCTTCTCGGGGGCCCCACATGTATTTTTTTAAGAATGTGAAACTTTATCGGAGGTCCCACTTGTCTTTTAAAAAAAAAAGGGTAAAATCTTCTCGGGGGTCCTAAATGACTTGTTTTTAATGTGAACCCTTCTTGGGGTCCCAACTGTCTTTTTTTAAAAATGTAGAACCTTCTCGGGGATGCCAAATGTCTTTTTTATGTGAAACCTTCTCGGAGGTCCCAACCGTCTTTTTTAAAAATGTAAAACCTTCTCGGTGGCCCCAATTGTATTTTTTTTAAGAATGTGATACCTTTAAGGGGTTCCCAATTTTTTTTTATGTAACACCTTCTCAGGGACCCCAAATGACCTGTGTTTAATGTGAAACCTTCTCGCGGGTTCCAACTGTCTTTTTTAAAAATGTAAAACCTTCTCGGGGGCCCCAATTGTATTTTTTTAAGAATATGATAAAATGACCTGTGTTTAATGTGAAACCTTCTCGGGGGTCCCAACTGTCTTTTTTAAAAATGTAAAACCTTCTCAGGGGCCCCAATCGTATTTTTTTAAGAATGTGATACCTTCTCGGGGGTCCCAATTATCTTTTTTAAAAATTTAAAACCTCTTTGGGGGCGCCAAATATTTTTCTTTGGAATGTGAAACCTTCTCGGAGGTCCGAGCTGTCTTTTTTACAAATCTAAAACCTTGTCAGGGGCCCCAAATGACTTGTTTTTAATGTGAAACCTTCTCGGGGATCCCAACTGTCTTTTTTACAAATGTAAAACCTTCTAGGGGCCCCAAATGTAGTTCTTTAAGAATATGAAACTTTCATGGGGATTCCAACTGTCTTTTTTAAAAATGTAAAACCTTCTCGGGGGGCCCAATTGTATTTTTTTAAGTATGTGATACCTTCTCGGGGGTCCCAATAATCTTTTTTAAAAATGTAAAACGTCTTCGGGGCGCCAAATGTTTTTCTTTGGAATGTGAAGCCTTTTCGGAGGTCCGGCCTGTATTTTTTACAAATGTAAAACCTTGTCAGGGGCCCCAAATGATTTGTTTTTAATGTGAAAACTTCTGGGGGGTCTCAACTGTTTTTTTTTTTAATCTAAAACCTTCTGGGAGATCCCAAATATCTTTTTTTTAATGTGAAACCTTCATGGGATCCCAGCCGTCTTTTTTAAGAATGTAGAACCTTCTTGGGACGCCAAATGTATTTTTTTTAGGAATATCAAATCTTCTCGGGGTTCCCAACTGTCCTTTTTTTTAAGAAGGTGAAACCTTCTTTTTTTTATTACACTGTGACTAGTACCTTCTATGAGTATATGGTTTTTACTCCATACAGATTATCACCAAAAAGTAAAATTCCCCAAAATCACATTTTATCATTTTTCGGAGAAGCAGTATTTGTTGGACTGTACTTCAGCAGCGACCGAAGTTCTGTCGAAATAACTTTCTACCAATTTTTTAGTATTGCAATTTGAATGACAAACTTAATACTATAGTTGCGCACGCTTAAAAGCCCTAATTAGTAGTATTTATAATGTTTTAATATGGCAAGTATAATAATTAATTAAAGCGAAAAACGTTTCCCTACACACTGAAGTTATTAAAAACAAATCAGTTTCTTTTTAAAAGTTAAATCAACCCCGACGATTTCAACGATCTCACATGACATACGATGACATTACTGCTGTGTGAGCTACCCGAGTGGAAGTCACGTTTTTCGGCCCTTCGTGTTCAATTTTGATTTTGATCTGATGGTGGCAACATCGGCGATCGTTCCAACTGGAATTTTCTCGTTTTCGGCTGTGATGGCAATTTTTCCCGTTCGTTGCAATTTCCTATGAATTTGTAGTGTTGTTTGTGAATAGCTAGTTGTTAAATATCCAGCTATTAGGGCTATTTTTGAAAATAGCCGACTATTTAGCAACACTATAAACTTGTTTTTAAATTAATTGACAGTGATGATATAAAATATACTCATGTCTGTGGCTTTCCTTGGATTTTTAGAATTAATAGTGATAATTGTAAGAAAACAGAATCGTGTCAGTTCCTCACTGAAGGAAAATTAAATGAAAAGTCGGAAAAGACAGTTCGGATGAATTAAGCGGTGCCGCTGTCCACATTAATGGTTTTTAAATTAACGATTTTTAATTATTAGTGAAATCAATTCGTGCAAACGCTGCTTAAAAGTTATCATGACATAATTAAATAATATTTAAACATAATTAGTATTATTTATGTTTAAATATGGTAAGTATTAATATATCATAAAAATTCGAAAAGCGCTTTCCTAGAAACACGAAGTTATTAAAAACAAATCAATTTTTTAAACATTATTAAATTACCTCGAAAAAAGGTTTCCTGGCCTTCCGAGATGGCCAGATTTACCTGTACACCATGTATATTGCTTTAGTTGTCACAGGGCAATTAATAATTAATCCAATTTAATCAATTTAACCTAACAAAAGAATCACACTCTGCCACCCTAAAAAGTCATCACCTTCCATTATACGTCTGCATTGTTCGAAAATCAGCGAACTGTTATACATCGTGTTGATGACTTTTAAGGCAATAGACCCATTATTGTCGTCAAATTCATTTCGTCGTCTCCTTTGACGAACACAAATTTCCCGGGGATCTACTACTGAGCTATAACCATATGGCTAATATACAAGTCATCATCGTAGTTTAATTATTTCAAAAATCGTTGTCATTCATGGGCGTTATAATTGGTTACACACTCTCACAAAGGAACGGGAAAATTTCCCATTAACACTGACCTCAAGAGCTACCGAGCCGAAAGAACCACAGTATTTAAATATTACAACGAAATATTAAGTTGCAACTTTCGCTGATGCAAAGGTTAAAGGTAAACTACACTGAAACGAAAAATTTTTGGCAATGTTTTTGGAAATTTAGTGCCTCGATCAGTATTTAAGAGTCTGTTTAGTCTGAGCAACCGCTACTTATTAAAGTAATGTCAAATATTTCAAACAATCGCAACGCATATTTCAAAAAGTGTGCACAGGTGGGTGCACCTTTGTTTACATTTTTATTTTATGACAAGGTCACCTAACTACGAACACGTCGCTCATAAACATTTCTTACAGACACAGATATGACCGATAGTAAATTTGCTTTTAATTAACAGGCGACAAGACTGCCACCAGACACTGTTGGTAGGAAATAATGCAACTCTATCACAACTACCAGCAGACTTAATTAAAGTACATGTGTACAGCGTTCTGCATTAGTGAAAATAAAAGAGCTTTTTACTGAAACAAGAATTCACTATTCACGGAAATTTGCAACACAGTATAATTACTTCCCTGTTTTACGCAAATTACAACCACTATTTGTTTCTGTGCGGTTGGCAGCCTTGGCACCACTAATCAGTTTAATTCCTCCAGTTTTGGCTGCGTCTCGCGCCGGTGATTCTCAGCTTAATTCCCATCAATGTCAATCCCATTAGTCACACCAGTACTCACCTTTGCATCTTTAGATGAAGAAAATTATCTCGAAGGTGTAAATTTTTGCTTAATAAGGAAATATATGTACATTTCGTAAGTATGACAGTTAGTGCAAGGCTCTGTTTTTGTCACTAAGCCACAATTACACAGCCAAAGTTTAAAAAAGCGGCATATAAAGTGCCGCACTAAAGTTAAATGTAATAAATTGGCAATTTTACAACCGCCTTGACCGTTTCACAAGATCCAATTTAAAGTCAATAAAAAAATAAGTCCGCTTCATTTTCAGAACACAGTGGGGTAATTAGTACTGAGGTATTTTGTTGAATATGCATGCGATTTAAAAACATAGGAACCTTCAAACTGCTGAATTACAACAGTGGATTTCTCAAGCCTTATCATTATCACCGTTCACCACGTAATTATAGAAAAATTAAATTCTTACAACTCACTAACAAATCAATTATTTGAAATCTCTCACGCGTGACGTGTGCCATTGATAATTAAAATAAAACGAGCAAACGAACACTAATTTCAATATTTTTTGCCAGCTTAATTAACACATGTTGAATATTCGTCGCTTACAAAATCTCTATTAATACAAATCATGTTGAGATTTATCGGTAAATATTGTTTAAAATTTGTATTGTTATTACCGGAAAACAAATAAAATTTTATACTTACCAGTTTCTATCATCACCAACTAAGATCAGTGGAAGATCTTCGAAGTACTAAAATGTCCCAATAACAACTACAATAAGTCAATATTGAAAACAGACTTTATTTATTTTGGATCATGTGATGCTTACATGGAATTTTCAAGGATTCTTAAATATCCAGTAACAGGTCGAAAGAATCAAAACGACAAAGATACAACGCAAACATAAAGATAAATAACTTACATAATATAAGATGGTAACCGGAAAATATTACTTTAAACACACCTTTCCTGGATGAATTTAACTGAAAACTGTGTAAATTACACAAAAAAAAAGTAAATAAAAATTCGTATTAAGTATCTTTGCAATATTACTCGTCATCCAAGTACTCCTTAGCGGTCTGTTCACTATCGGAACCTACAAAGCCACCATTACTCCACAAAATCATCTCGGGGAATTCTTACCCTCACTGCTGGAATTGTTTCCTGAACCGTCAAAAGAATCCGGGGACATATCTCCAGGCTTGTCTTCATCGTCCGACTTAAGTTGTATCTGTTGCGAAGAAGACGTATCTTCAATATCGAGAGTTCCATTAACATCCAATGAATTCTCCTTCTTCAAGGACTCTCGCCCCCGGAACTCCACATCCAAATTCGTCTTGAATTTTTGACTATAAGGCACGTACTTCAAATCAGAGGTGCTATTAAAAGTCATGAACTTCCTCGATATTTTCGTCATTCCAAACTCAGTTTTCCCTTCACCCTCATTCGTGTTCTTCTCAAACAGTTCCTTCAAGTTCCTTACTGAAACCGCAGGAGAGTCGACGTCGTCTTCCGTCTTCTGCACCTCTTCCACTCTCTTCACCACAACTCTCTCTTCAGCTCTCTCCGCAACTGGTTCCTTCTTGTTCATTTTGATTTCGCGTTTTTCTTCGAACGAGTTTGACTTTGCGCCAAATTTGTGGACTCTACTGGTCGTGACGACGACATCTTCGTCGAACGAGTCCGTTCTGGCCTTCATTCCATACTTGTCGTACTTCGTCGTAGTCGTCACCACGGCCGTCTCGCCAGACGGAAGTAGCGCGTTTAGCTTTTTGCTCAGTCTTTTCAGTACTTCGGTTAACTCCGACTTGTCTTCGATGGTTGTAGGGTTGTTCTTCGTTTCTACATTCCCCAAGTCAGTCAAAATGAAAATAATTTGGTTTTGGTAGTAGATGTGGTTTTCTCGTGAGTAGGTTCTATAATTGTTGCTCAAGTTGTTTTGTAAGTGACGAACTTGTTGCTCAATTTGGGCCAGTTCAAGATTGTTTTCCGGTTCGATTCGCTCGACGGTTCGCTGGATGACGGTGGGTTTCGGGGCTAAGCTTCCCATGGACCTTGCCCGTCGGATCAGGAAGGTGGGTTCGCTGTTCACGGCGACTGTTTGGTTCTCGAAGATGGAAATTATGTTTCGCACGCTGCCTTTTGGAGGGGTGGACGACAAAGTTGAGGCCATTTTAGTGAAGTTGTGTCGAATGAAGGAAAAACTAAAATAGGGGTGAATAGTAGGTCACTGTGAAGAAATGGTGGTGTTGGTGGAAATGCAAGTTTGAAAATATTGTCAAATTTTGAAAAATTAAAAGAAACTCACCTGCTCGTTATTGGCTTTATTGCTGTAAGAATGATTACGATTGAACTAGATAACGACTTATCGATAACGATAAGATATAAAGTGGTGCCAAATACTTTTATCAGATTTTTGTGCCATTACGTAATGAAATTCTGAAAATTTAATAATCAAGCACTTTGCTTTTAAATGTTTTTTATACATAGGGACAATTAAGATAACCGCGATATTTTTATCGGCAACAAACACCAATAAAGTGCCTTTATGAACTTGTTCACTTTTATTTATAAAGTTTTTAATAACGATGATAAAGGGAATCGAAAACCATTGTCGCAGAGTCATTTTTAATTTTTTATCTGAAAAAAATTTGAACGAGTTGATCTTTGAAATTAAGACAGTTAGTTAGAATATGCACAATTATATATGTACAAAAAGATGTGTGGAAATTGCGATTTGGTTTCCTTTTCAATTGTCGAAGAGACTAAAAATAAACGGTTCTAGACGGCTACAATCTAGGACCGACCCAGCCTTCTCCACATGTGTCATCCACTGAGTGTTTGTTCGGTATTTTGTTAAGCTCGCCCAGGATCCGAGGACTGAAATTAAACACTATAATTTGATCCTCACTATTTGTGAAACAGTGAGTCACAAATCATTCGTTACAGGATGTGCCATTGTTTCTTGCCATATTTGAACCTCTGTAAAAAAATAATTTATGGCTCATAAGACTGTTAGAATTTGAAATATGTTGCATATGAAAGCAATGAACAGTTTAAATTTAGATTTCATCAGCATTCGACAACGAAAACCCTGATCATTATCAGGGCGTACTACTATATATTTTTTTAAAGATAAACCATAAGTATTCGTTAAATTTAAAACTGCTGCCTAGATACAGGAGCAAACTTCAGGCGAATTTCCTCAACTTTTTACGCTTTGGTCAAATGATGTGTGCGTGTTTAGTTTTTCTAACGCCGTTAAAAAAATACATTTATTTTTATACTATTACATTATACTACTGTTGTTGTTGTTGTGGTGTCCCGACTTAAAAATTAGATTTAGCGCCGACAAAAGAAAACACGCCGCGAAAACGGATTTGAAAATCATCCGTATTTTAACGCGTTTAGCTTTTAGTAGGTAAAATCTTGAACCACTTCTCGTTTTGCATTTGCAGTTCCAGTCAAAACACGTTTTAAAAATTAAAAAGGCAATTTTTTTTAAATCGAAATCAATTTCGTTATACGTTCCGGGCTCCTGCAACGAATGTAATTGGTGTACGATCTGTTTGTTAACGATCTCTTAATCTGAAATGATATAAATCTTTGACGAAATTCGTCAGCACTTGTATTTGGTTTCGTTCTTTGTAAATTCCACTGTTCACGTTAGGATTTTAACCGTTCATAGTTCTAACACAATTTTGTTGCAGTACTGAAAATTCAGTTATTTAGACTGAACTTATTTATATCTAACGATATCTTAAAGTTCATCTCAGTGAGATTTTAAATATATAATATATACTTTATTGTCCAACAGCATTAATTTCCCAATTACACCATAACAATAAGTAATTGTACACTACATTAATAAATATATCATTATGTAAACAAAATAATAATATAGTTACAATTTAACAGAATATGTCTTCTAAACAATTATTTCCACAACAACTCATTGTGTAATTCGGTGCACGACGTAAAACGGGAATCACAAAATTGTTGAAGGAGAGAAATTTTAAGATAATTGGGCGGATTAACATCGCAAAAGTGAGAGACGTTGAAATCACCAACTAGAATCACGTCCTCATTATGTAAATGTACTTCTAGTACATTTAAAAATAGTTCTAATTCAGTGGAAGTAACGTCAGGAGGTATATATGTAACACAAAATATGAATTTGATTCTACCACATACACACCGACACAAGATAACACCAGTAAACGAAACTATATTTGAAACATGCCTGGTATTGTGGTGACCGAATTTGAATCAATTTTCGCGCTGAAATTAACTAACAGTGGCGCGAAATCACACTTGAATAATTTGAATTTGAGAAAAAAATTCAATAAAAAAAATCGTTAAACATAGGACTTGTACACGTTTAGCTCTTTTTCTAGTAGTTGGTAGCTCACTAGGGTTGTTTAGTTAGAGGGGTGGTTATAAGAGGGCGGTAATGGTAGACAAGAGAGCGGCATGGCGAGAACATGGTGAACGCGTGATCATTATTGTGTTGGTTTTCGTGTGTGTGAGTGCATGTAAGTTAGCTGACTCGCAGCTAATTCTTGCGGCTTTTTAATCGGAAACATGTGAATTTTTAAACTACGCCAACACATGCTGTAGATTTGTTTTATTGTTTGTAAATTCACCGATCAGGTTAAGATTTTTAATCGTTAACTGGTGCTAACACAATTTAGCAGCCATTAGATTTGTCTAAACAAACAATTACTATAGGAGATTTGATGAAATTCACTTAGTCAGGACTAGTTTGATTTTGTTTGTCTAATTATAAATAAGTTTCTGGATGCATATACTTAAGTGTTACATTATAACGCTTCTTAATTCTTCACACAAGATTGCTAATAGTTCATTAACGGCAGTTAAATTAACAAAATTCATTATGTCGTGGACTGGCGGGGGGTTAAAATCGTCGTCTTCGTTGATTAGTGATGCAGAAAAAGTAACTATTCGTTACTCGAGTATTCGGTACCCGAGAAGATCCGAAGTAACGAATACTCACATGAGAAAATATTCGTTACTTATGCAATCAGGTACTCCTCGGATCTCTGCTGACTGCCGAGCGCAGATCCGATGTTAGTTTAATTTTAATTTAATTTTAGTTTAATTTTAGATGCTTAAAATCAATATTTTGTATATTTTTTCTTTATAATCTATCCAATACAACACCCTCTTTTTGATTATTATTCCTTATCATCTATTTTTTTTAATGTGCAAGTAAACGCGAAGAGATGGAGTAACGAGAATCGAGAGCGAGTAATGAATACCTAAATATAAACAGTCACAGAGTCCGACTACCGACCGAACGCGTCTAGGCGTCTATCGTCCGGTCCGAGAGAACGAGTACTTGTAACGAATATAAAGTAACGAATTTTGTACTTGAAAGTAACGAATAGTTACAAGTACCGAAATGTAACGATAACTTGCATCACTATCGTTGATTCACTATTAAAGTCTCTCCAATCCCTTAAATGTGACATGTGAGGGCGCATACGTCGGGAGGGAAAGGAATCTGTAATGTCAGCTAAATGTCTGTCATGGTCTGACTTTTTGACACAATTTGACATCATGTATTTCGGTTTTTACTTGAAAAAGAGGCAAAATTTCGGTACCGGTGCCAAAGTCACAACGCCATGTGCGTGGATGGTCTTCAAAGGGATATGCAGTAGGAAAATTTTTCTTTGAGGTGTTTACATTGTTACCGGAATGTGTCTCAGGAATTATGAAGCTGCATTCTGGATCACGTTTAGTGCTTGCTGGGTAGCTTGAAGAAGTAGGAACAGGTAGCGGTGACCTGGAACCATGGAGGAACAAAGTAGGAACAGAGCCGAGTTTAAGTCTTTTATTTGAATAATAACAACTTCTCTCAAAAGTGTTTACCACAAGTGTATAAATTATTGGCAATATTATCACCTGAAATGGTTTTAATGACTATATATTCCCTTAGGTAAAAGATTCATGTTGGGGTACCTACTTGTAGCATTAAAAACCTTTTTACACCACAACCATTTGTTCACAGTGTTTGAAGGGAATCTGTGCATTATTTTGTGATCCTTGATTACCCCACAAGCAGGCACAGAGCAATATTTTTTGGACATTTTGATAATATCAATTCAAGCACAAACTGTTTTGGCGCGTGGCAAACCGGATTAATTACAGGTTCCTGTAACTCCCGAAGGGGGTGACATCTTTTGATATTTTCCCTTTTGACAAGTCGGACGATTGTAACCAATTGGAGAGACTTTAATAGTGAATCAACGAAGACGACGGTTAAAATAATTTCTTCCCTTAAGTAGTTATCATGGTTACATCACCGAGGCATTTCCTCGCAACGTGAAAGAATGATTACATCACTGAGGCATTTCCTCGCAACGTTAAAGATTGATTACATCATCGAGGCATTGTCTCGCAACGCTAAAGTTTACATCACCGAGACGCTTTTCCTCGCAACGATGACCGGATATTTTTGTATTTATTTATTATGTGTTTTGTTGGGGTAACCAGTTCACGATAAACTCTCAAAGTTAATTATTTTAAGTAACCAATCACTTAGATCAAGAGTGCGGCAACTATTAATCTCATGTAGATTTTGTTAACTTTGCAATTTTTCACCTCATTCAATATTTCTCTATGTCCCAATTTTAACCTCAGTAATTTTCTTTGTTGTATAATTTTAATTGAACGTTAATTTCATGATCTGCAGTTTTAACCTCACATAATATTTTTATTTGCACAAGTTTATTTAGACTTCCACTTTTTACTGGGGTACTCACGCTTTTTTTTCACAATTCACTGAAGAAGAAAATATTCACATGTATTGTGGTGACCTGGGGTGCGATTTTGTTTCTCGATCGAAGCGATAAATTAAATGTCATTACGTAGGTTTTAAATGCAAAAGTTTGCATTTATTCTTTGCATATAAGCTTATTAAATGCTCAAAGGTTTACAATTACCTTAATTTTAAGAACTTATAACTCAGAATTACGATTTTGAACTTCTATTTTGATATAAATTTCGAGGTTATGTCTCCAAAATTTATCACTTTACTCAGAGCTATCGAGAAAAGATCGCTCCATGAAGACTTGACTTCGTGACAGAATCGAGAAATGTGACAGAAAAGTAGCATCTCAACCAATCAGCAAACGAGATTTTATCGCTAACCGGTTTTTTTCGATCGAGAAACAAAATCGCACCCCTGATTTGAATTAAAATTTCGCCTTGAAAAAAAGCAGTGGCGCGAAATCCCATTTGAATAATTAGAATTTGACAAAAAAAATCAATCAAGAAAATCGTTAAACGTAGGCAACCATGTACACTTTTAGCTCATTTTGGGTAGTTGGCAGCTCTCCTAGGGGAATTTGTGCGGGAGTATCTAGTGAAAGGGTTGGCACAATTTCATAAT